CATTCCACAGGCTGGCTAGGTGAGGGAGGGAGCAGGTGTTTGGCCACAGGCCCTCCTAAGGACTGTAAATGCAAAGACCCCCGAAGCAGTAGGTGTGGGGTGGCGGGGCACTTCAGTTTGGAGGCCCCTCTCCCTGTGGCTCTTGGCTCAGTCACGGTGTGCCAGGTGACCTTAGAGGCTGGTGGTCTGTTCTCTCGAATCTCAGGTGTGTCTTGTCTCCCGGGAGAGGTAGTCTGAGCCGTCTTCCCTTGTGCTCAACAACGGGGTGTTGAATCACTCTCAGACTGGTGAGAGGCCTTCGCAGCCCTGCTGGTCAGCCCCTGCCCCAGGGCAGGATGCGGTGAGTGCTCTCTTCTCTCTTACAGACGCCGGCTGGGTCCCCACGTCTGCCTCTCAGGCTTCCCAAGTGGCTGCTGTCCTGGCTGGGCACCCTCCCTGGGCAGTGGGCATTGTACCTTACGTAAGTGCTGTGTGGTGGCCCCAGCTTCCTCCCTCAGCAGGGCACGGGTGGGGCTGGCCAAGAGACATTCCCCACCCCCACCCCCACCCCAGCCCTCACCTGCATTTCTCCTCCAGCCCTCTGCTCCTTCGGCTGTGGGAGTGGCATTTGCATTGCTCCCAACGTCTGCTCCTGCCAGGATGGAGATCAAGGGGCTACCTGCCCAGGTAACAGGGCCGGCAAGGGCTGGTGGGAAGGACAGCAGAAATCGCACCTGGTCCTTGAGGTGTGTTCCCGCACATCATCTTCCAAGGAGCCAGTTCACTCCCTGCCAGCGGGTCAATCGACTCACAGCGACCCTGTAGGCTAGGGTAGAACTGCCCCAGTGGGTTTCCCAGACTAACTCGTGACGAGAGTGGAAAGCCATTTCCTTTTCCCAAGGACCCTCTGGGGTAGACTTTATTGTGCCCATTTTACAGATGAAGAAATGGATTTGCAGGACTTAGGGCCGTGTGGTGTCTGCTCACCAGTGTCATACCTGTTTTAGAAGCCCACGGAGTCTGCGGGGAGTACGGCTGTGACCTCACCTGTAACCACGGTGGCTGTCAGGAGGTGGCCCGAGTGTGCCCCTTGGGCTTCTTGATGACAGAAACAGCTGTTGGCATCAGGTGTACAGGTGAGAGACCTGGGGGGTAGGAGACAGTAGGGAGGGGCAGGAGTTCTGCCCTCTTCTGCCTGTCCTGTCAGGTGGTGTCCAGAGAGGCATATGATGGGTAGCCAGGCCAGGATGACCCTGGGAACAAAAGAAACCATGCCCCTTCTTGAACTTAAATGTTTTCTGAGCACCTGTTATAGGCCAGGCTCCTTGGGTGGTGCCACGGGCTTGGGGAGTCAGGGGCAAGGGAGAGGCATATCTAGTTTATTTGGGGGTACCTTGAAATAAAAGCCCAGTGCTCTGCCTCAGAGAACTCAGCCATGGGAACTCCCCCGGGAGCACAGCTCTGTGCTGACACACACACACACACACACACACACACACACACACACACACACACACACACACGGGCTTGCCAGCAGACTGGTATTGTCAGCCCGAAAGTGGGCTCGAGGCTGCAGCTAGGAGACTGATCTCTTGTTCTGGAGCTTCCGCTGTGGGGATGGAGGCCAACCATGGGGCAGTGACACCCAGGGCCAGGGGGACTGTGAGCGAGACACAAGGTGCAGGGGGCCACAGACGGGGCAGGATACCTGGATTGGAGTGACTTCCTTGATGGGAGGCAATATTTGACAAAGGCAGGTGAGTTGGGGAAGCCAAACTCATTCGTTGTTGAAGTATTATTTGTGATTCAAAGAAACAGACAGACAGACACAAAAGATCCTGACCATCACAGCCTGCTGCCTCTCCGAGGGGCAGTCAGGGATGTGGACCCGTATCTTCAGCATCTTCAGTGCCCTTGAGTCGGTCCTGACCCATAGCGGCCCCCATGGACAACGAAACACTCGCTGGTCCTGCACCAGATCCCAATTGTTCTATGTCTGAGCCCATTGTTGCTGCCACTGTGCCCACCCTTCTGGCCAAAGGTCTTCCTCGTGTTCCCTGACTCACAGTTAGACCCGAAAAGACTAAGTAGAACCTAGCATGGCGTCCTTCTCCAGGGCCTGGTCTCTCCTGTCAATGTGTCCAAAGTATGGGAGAAGGAGTCTCCCATCTTCCTAGAGAATCCAAAAGCCCCTTTGGAGTTTTAGCTTTGTAAAAATAATGTCCACCCCCCCACACACACACACACCAAGAAAGAACATTTGGGAAATAAAAAGCAAGGTAATAAAGGCGCCCCCAGGCAGCCGGGACCCAGAGATACTAAGACCCAGAGAGAGATACTGTTACTCACAGTGAGGGTGGTTTTCCGGTCCCAACCCCCCGCGAGCAAAAGAAAAGCCACGGACTCAGGCATTGAGCAATTGGGAGGTTGGCGCAGGACCTAGCAGGGTTCCCTTCTGCTGTGGGTTGAAACGGACTCAGGGCACCTACCAACAAGCCCACCCTCACCACCCCGGGTGGGATGGGGGTGGGGTCTGTTAGTGAGTGTGTGCGCATGTGCAGACACGAGTGCCCTTTACAACCCGAAACACACTGGCCTGCTATATGTTTGTCCATTATCTTTCTCACTGGATAGCGTATCCCTCAGTTGGGCTGCTGAGGACAAGGTCAGCAGTCTGAAAGCGCTAGCCACTCCTCGGGGGGAAGATGGGACTTTCTGGCTCCTGGAAAAGAGTGACCGTCTCAGAAGCCTACAGGGGCAGTTCTACCCTGCCCTGTGCAGTAGCTGAGTTGGAATCGACTCATTGGCTGAGAGAAAGATGCGTCTGTGGCTCACAGAACAACTCTCGGCCAGCCGTTGAATCATCACACGGCATCACACAGCCTGGTGGACCCCCGCCCCCCAACACACACACACACACACACACATACACACACACCCCATCCCCTGACTCAGAGCCAGACCCGATCACACAG